AGTTGGGCCTTTGATCCGCGCCCTGATCGGGGGCGCCCAGCCCAATATGGCTGGAGGGCTCCTGTCACACTGCGCAATAAATAGAGGTGGGGGCCGGCGGCTCTGAGTACGAGGTTCGCCTGAGCCGAGCTCCCCACCGAAACCTAAACCCTAATCCCGATCAGAGAGAGGCGCAGCCAGTGATGGGAAGCCACCAGCCGCGCCGTCCCGCTCCACCGACGTCGACGACTTCATCGACCTCTTCCCCGAACGTCGCTGCCCGTGCGCAGACTTCACCGACGAACGAGATGGCGGCTTCTGGACCATCTCCCTCTGCGGTGTCAAGTTTGACATGTTCTTCTTCTATTCCTCTATCTCTCTACTTTCGATATAACATTCACAGTAAAGAGAACCCGCTAGACCTAACCCTAGACGATCTTTCCGATCCTCTACACCAGGGTCTTGCTATCATCCAGGACACTAAGGCGTTACAAACTGCAGAGCTGCTCACATGTGGAGGTGATTTCCCTAATCTCTGTGATTGCAACTTGATTGATGTGCCTGTAGTGCTTTGGAGGAGCTGTGATGTGGTTGTGGTGCAATCGGGGCTGTTTTCTTCATCGGACTGGGTTGAGCAGCAACCATGGCCACCACCACATGTGCAAGTTGAGTTTGGGTGTGGCAGTGCTGATGTACGTCCACCTGGCGAACTGAGGTCAAAGAGTTGTGATGCTGAGTTACGGCCTACACCATGGCCGTCTTTCAACATGGTTGAGAGGTGCTCTGTCAGGTGTTACTGTGGTCGCCTTTGGAAGCCCCCATGGCGAATTCGCCAACAAACCAGGGCATATGGAAAAATTATTGGAGACTACGCTCTACAAAAAGGGGTTGATGTGAAGACAGGCATCAGGTGGCTTTGACTTGTTTCCTACATTGCTTGTAACTGATGGATCATGTAGGATTGATCGGCGTATGGAAATCCATGGTCATCCTCTTGATATCCAGGCTCTGTTCTATTCTGCTTTACACTATTGCTGAGAAATGCTTGGTGTAACCGATGGATCCAAGAACTTGATCTGTGCTATTAACAGCAGGCTCAGTGCTCTGTCATTTCACATAAGAGAGTATTATTGGGTTGATATGAAGAAGATAAATGCGATTTATCGCTACAAGACTGAGGAGTACTCCCATGATGCCGTTAACAAATTCAACATCTACACGGAGCAAATTCCGTCCTGGCTTGCAGACTGGATTCCTGTGAAACGTGGTTACCTTATAGGCAATCTGCAGCCAGCTCACATGGATTTCAGGTTTTTCTCCATAGGGAATCTGTGGGCGATTGTCTCATCTCTTGCTACTCAAAGGCAAGTAGAGGATATTCTGAACCTTATGAAGGCCTTGTTGAACAGCAACCTGACCTCAGTACTAGTGTTGGACACCCATTTGGCAACTATTTGTTTACTCAGAGCTGGACTGCATTGGTCCATGACCTGCTGCATTGTGTTCCAGCCAGTGCCACCCCCTGAAATACTTCTTGTTACCGTTAACAATGAGTTGGTTGTGACAGGTTTAGTTGCCAGCAAGCTGCCTGTTCTTGATTGGATGCTCATGGCCGACCTTCAACTGGAGATCATGTCTAATGGAGCTAAGTTCCGGCCAACACCCTGGCCTTCCTTTGGTTGTCGTACAATGTTGCAGCTACTTGGTGCTTCTCCTTCGCAGGCTTCAAATTCAGCTGGGCTAGATGGCAGGTTTGGGACTGCCATTGTTGGATTCCTGCCGATCAACAGTGCATCAGGGACCCCTATTTCTTACCGAGTGGAAGTCTGCATTGCTGTTAGCATGATTCAGGTGTCCTAGCAGCCACATCTATTTTTCAAACGCTCTCAGTTTGAACTTGGTGTTGCTTCCTTGAACTCAGTGGGATGGCAGGTGTTTGTCCGAGGAAGATGCTGGAGTTTGCCAACAGCTCAATGCTGGATTGCAGAAATCCATGATTGTCAGCAGCTTTCTCATCTTGGGGTGTCTGATCATGCGCATATGTGCTATGGCATGAGGGAACTTGCCATCTGCTCATTTGATGTGGCAGAGCAGTTGTCCTGGAGGCAAGAGAGAATCATTTGGCCATCATGTCCTGAAGAGGTACAGCTATCGTTGTGTATCCAGCATCAGAAGAGTGCTGAATGGGCACCACGATCAAACGTATTGGCTGAGATACATGCTATCAACTTATATGGTGAAGTGTCATCTACTAGTATGATGTGGCTCTCAAGTTACAGCAAGTTGCTGCTTGATCGAGCGCTGTTTGTCACACAGGAGTCTCGGTATAGGCTCGTACCTGAAATAGTAGCTTGGGAGCTAAGACCAGAGTCAAGACAACTCAAGTGTGGTGCTTCCACTGATCACATCGCATTTCTAAGTCGAAGGTGCAGAGGTTATGATCTTCACAACAAGAGCTCGTTCAGTCTTTGGGATCCTGGTGGTTCTCATCTTCTCGATCGGCCTGGGGGCAAGCTAAGAAGGGGGAAATGCCAGGGACTGTCTAGTGGTGGGCTGGCATGGACGGCCCATGCAGGCCCAAGACGACAAGGCATGTGCATTACAAAGGAAGGCAAGGAGCAGTCGTCTAGGGCATCGAAAAATTAATCAGAAGTCTACTGTTTATCTTCCTCCCCAAATAGCTCTCTCTTTCTTCTCCTGCCTCCAGCACCTTCTAGAATCTTCTAGTACATTCCTTCTAGTTTCGATTCCCCTGCTTGTTGATTCCAGACCTCCCTCCCCCTGAGGTCTTGTATCCTGCTATCTCTGAATCTGAGTTGTCAGTGAACCAATGGAGTTTGGTTGATAACAGTCACGCTCTCCCCATCTCAAAGCAAGAACACTGATGACTCGCTGAGGGTCCAGCGCCTACACCCCCAGGATAGCAACCCGCCGCTAGGCAGCCTACTCCAGTCTCTGTCATGGCTTACGTACAATCATACCTGTGATGACGATCGATGATATATACGTCTCTTTACTACTCCGGTAGTATAACTGGGGTGCCTAGCTAGGAAGCATTTGATCAGAGAAATCACCACATTCTTGATATAACGGTTCATCCCGTGTCTAGTATTTAATAGGCATTGCGCTTAATTAGTCTTGCTTCATAAGAGTTTGATTTTATGATCGTTCTTATTGTTGGCAGTTTTTTGTTTAATTGCCCATTGGTTCAGAGCCTCAGACTAAAGTTTTGAATGATTAAGGGCAAAACTCATGTAGAAGCCAGAATAAACAAAAATGAGATGATCCTATTAGTTTCGGTGGAATGACTTCATCTCTAATGTTTGTACGTACTAGTCATGTGGCTGTCAGGGGTGAATAATGATGGATCAACACAACATATTCCATATTATTCAAACCAAACAGGAAAAGATATGGGGAGTGAGAAAGTGATGGATCAATCCATTGCTAAAGCCAAACGTACACTCCCGTAACAGAGAATATCAAATGCTTATGGTCAAATTGGTTAAACAAACTCAATCTTGGATTTCAACTAAATCAATGGCCCAAGTGAGAGAGGTAGAAGTTCCCTTGCTTAAGTTACACCCAACTGGAAGTACAATTAATTGGTGGATAAGACATAAGAGGATGAACGGAGTTTAGTTTCCACTTCTCACTTGAGTTATCCAGAAATATTTTTGAAGCGTAAGGCTAAATTTCTACATATGTTCACTTATGTCCATCCAGTATTTTCACGAATAAGAGTATATATTCTGGAGTACTTGAGACTCAGACTTTCAGCGAGAGGGGTTTCCAAATTCTTCAGGAGTTCCCAACTTTCCATCACCATCAGTGCAGTGGAGAAGTTCAAACAAACAAGGCAGTGCTGTGATTAGGATCACGCAACAAACCCGCCTTTTCCTACGCATACATGCGCAAGGCTTCAGTGCCGACCGCCGAAACACTGTAGGCTGAACAAACCCGCACCCGCCTGATGGTGAGCTTGGAAGGAAGTCAGCTCTCTAACAAGGGCCCCGCCCCTTCGTGCCTTGTGAATTCGTAACGGCCTTGGTTTCTCCTGGCATTTCATCGAAGTTGGAAGAAACACGTCAGCATTACGTGACTATAAACGTACGCCGTACGGATGGTTGGTTCACTGAACCATTCTTTAAGGTCTTGCATCTTTGTCAAGGACATGGACGACAACGGAATAGGGACACCTTTGGCCTCTGAACGTTCATTTCATGGAAACTGGACTGACCTACTGTGCAATGGTTGTCGTGTTACACGTTGCAGAATCCAGGCAGGCTCTTGATGATCCATGTGCAGTCTCAGGCATCTTGTTCATTTCATCTCTCTGGTATGCGACTGCTTAAGCTTACCCAAGAATAAGCTAGACGTTGGCTGATACCTCGCTAAAAATCAGTACACATTATGCACATCAAAATTCAGAGCATGTGCGATGAGTCTGATGTTGGAAGGATGGTGAGTTGACTGTTGGAAGGATGGTGAGTTGACTGTTGGAAGGATGAAAAATAATGTTTTGTTGACTGAAAAATCGAATAAACCAAACAAGACCAAGCAGAACAGGGATAACCTCGCTGCCATGAGTTGACTGTAATTGCTCCACAGTTGCCAGGGACAGCAACAGGGAGATATCAGAGATATACCTCGCTGCTGCACTGCTCAGAGCACAGCCTTGCACAGAAAAATAGGCTATTTTATTCACTGCAACCTGCTGAGCATGACCCCGCGTGCCACATACGTATACCCCCTAACTTTGTTCATAGGATGCCTTGCATGATTCGACCATTTGAATCTAGTTCTTCAGCTTCTCATACCGAGAAACATTAGGTTTCTACCAATACAAACCCCTTACTTTGAAGGGCAAGGTATCACTATACTAGGGTCTAGGTATCTCTTCTCTCACAATCTTATTCGTTTAAGTATTGTATCTATTTTCTATACTGGGAGCTGTGCAGTGCGCTCAAACTTGCAGTCTGTCTTCCTCCTTATTTTGATTGGCAGTCTTTCTCCGGTCTTTAGAAGTTTGATCCATTTGAGGCGTGGAACATTGAATTGTCGACTGAGTTCGAGCTGCACATGCCAAAGTCTTGGTAGTCCAGCAGCCAGTCTGTTGTTCCATCCCATGGCAACATCCCCTTGACATTGCCAAGTTCATCGTTGCTGCTCATAAAATTCAGCCATGGCTCATCCATCGACAGGTCTGTCTCTGACAGCCAATTCACCAGCAGTTCAGGGTCTTGATCACAGCCGTTGGTGCCTGACTCTGGCCAGCTGGACTGCTCCAATGAATCAGTGGACAGCGGAACCTCCCTATGGCTGTCATCCTTCAAGCTCAGCTCCTCTCTGAAGTCGCTGGATTTAGCAGATTCATCTGTAACTGTGGACTGTGAGGAAGCTGCCTTGGAATTGGCTAGAGGCTGGTGCGTGGCCGGGTCGATGCCCATCTTGATGAGCTTCTTCTTGATGTGCGTGTTCCAGTGGTTCTTGATCTCATTGTCTGTTCTCCCAGGTAACTTGGCAGCAATCTTGGACCATCTGCATAGGTTTAAGTCATTAGGAGCGCACAAAGCAGTTGTAATATTTTGTTTCTGGAGAACGAAGCACATGAGCAGAAAGGAGCAGCTAACCCTTTTTACTAAAGTTTCAGCACAGCTGAATTTGAAGAAATTGCATAAATTTACAAATTTTCATTATTTCCACAATTGTGTGCTTCATGGTTTAGAATTGGAGTTTGTGCTACAAGTGAAGAGGTTGAGAATGACCTGAGCGCGAGTGGTCCTATTACTACTGCCCTTCAATTCTAGTGTGCTCTTTAACTCACATGCAGGCATGAAGTCCACATCGGTGTATCAGTAATAACTATCAATTCAAAGTGCAACAACTAAGAAAAGATAGCCATTATATTTTGTTGTTTTTTAGATAACTTGCCATTTGCAAGAGCACTGAAAGCATGAAACAACCAAGAGGTTACTGCAGAGTGCTAAACTAGGGACAAGGTAAAAAACTATACCAGTTATAGGGTTATAAGATGTAAGGTGCAATAAACTCAATAACCATGAAAACCACTTTTCAAACTATAGGTAAACTTGATTAACTGATCCTGGTATTGCAGGATTTATTTATTTCTCAAAACTATACATTTCGATTGAACTTGGCCTTTCTTGATAGACGTGGAGCACCAGGGGGTTTGACAACAATACCACGTGCATGTGACTTTGTTACTATTAATTGCACGAATTCAGTTGGTTCTAAACTTTGTGGCACCATTTTACAGTAAGTAGCAGCTAGCGTTGCTACACTTCGTGTAGACTTACAACACATATAAGTATAAGCTAGCTACTCTTAGCCAAGTATTCCATCAACATGTTCTGTGGTTTCCTTGGCACTTCAAAGCTTAACCAGGGGAATATTCACCCATGCCAAGGAACCGATGCAAATATAGCTTATTCTACCATAGCACAATAAAGAAGATGGATTAACATACAAAATGGAGTATATGCATCCATGCACACGTGTTATATATACCATGCAAGCTAGTATACCTATTTCCGAGCTTGGCATGGAGGTCAATGATGAGCTGCTCCTCGGCAGTGCTGAGAAGGCCACGCTTGAGGTCAGGGTGGAGGTAGTTAGTCCACCGCAGACGACAACTCTTGCCGCAACGAAGCAGCCCTGCCAGTTTAGGCACTGTCCGCCAGCAGCATCGACCATGTGTCAGGATGAAGCTAATGAGCTTCTTGTCCTCCTCCGCTGTCCAAGGCCCTCGCTTCACCCCCTGCTTGTCACAGCATGGCTGTCTCCCCATTGATCAATTTACTATCAGATGGCAGCTTGTACTAGATTAAGCACTAAGTGAACAAGGCTATCGGTAAGCTTCTAATGCATTTTATATATGCTGTGAGCCACCAAACTCCGCAGACAAACATCAGACAAAAGGGCTGTGAAAGCTCCATTGCAACTGCAATGGATGTCTGCCCGCAGATATGTATAGCTCCGTGCAATTTCACTAAAAAAATGTCCTGTGCTTTCCATACTTTTCTATTTGCTGATGTAGAAAGCGATGGTGATTTGGTTACTTTAGAGTAATCTGGAAGTAAGAGTTTAAGTCTGACCTATAATAAACTGTACCATGTTAAGCCCTTGTTAAAAAACAGTTACCAATCGCACTGCAGCATCATGGGGTACTACTACTAGAGTCGATAATCATGTTCATTAAAATGAGATGTGTCAACATCCTTGACCAAGCTGATTATTGTACTTCAATATTCCAATATGGTACAGAGCGATAATATGATCTTAATTAACTAGCATACTGAAATGAACAACACCCTATTTGCAGATAGCTTAGCTCAAATTTTTAGTTAGCTATCCTTTTCTAAACACGGCAATTTGTTTGCAAATGATGCAACAGGAACTAAAGTATGATTATCTCTAACTATTGATGCTTCCATTCCCCACAGGGGTATATAAATGTGTGCTGCCCCAGTTGCCATCTTAAGCAACTATATCTCACCAACCATTTTATCATTGGTGGTGCACTGTAACAAATAAAACCATGAGGAACAACTAGCATATGCTCTGCAAGCTGCATATCTAACATATGTGTATGGGCCAATGATGACATTGTGCACCATGATGTAAATGTTGCATTCTAATTTGTGAGAAAGCTGAAACATTCAGACAGTCAGCATCCTAGCTCACTGAGACTGGTGATATCAACATGACGATCAACAGGTGAGCTTAGCCTCTGAAGAGTTTGATTTACATATCGAGCTAGTACAAGAGATGAGAAAAGACAGCAACTAATTAATTAGACATAGAAATCAGTGCATCGCCTTGGTTCTTTTCTTTAATGCAAAGACTTGCAGCTCAGTTTCATTTCATGTTTGCTAAAAAAAAGCACACAGCTTACTTTTGCTAATAAAAAAGCTCAGTTGCAAAGATGAAACTTTAATTCTGTAAGCAAAATGGTTATTCTGCAACTAGATGCAAAGAAAGGATAAGAATTAGAGTTTCTTAATCCACCGAACTCCCAAGAAAGTGAATATGAGAAAGGACCCATCTTACAACTTACTTTTGCTTAGAAATGACAGCAAGGGACAGCTTAAGAATCTGTGGGTATTCAAGACATCTGCCGACATGAGGAAGAAATGACTGTGCTCTGACGCTCTGTAACCACAAAAATAATGTCAACTCAGTTATACATATTTGGAGTGTTGATATAAGAAGGAGCATCATCAATCAATCAACAGAAAAACGTTTTGCTATTCAGATACTGTGCTGGGGCGCTGGGCAACAATGGACATATATTTTGGACAACTAAAGCCTACAGGGGCCAATTTATGCCGTGTCTGCAAGAAAAATGCTAGCAACTGCTGATAGAATAGCAGCAGGCTTCTGATACACAATGCTAACTCATTCTTCTGCTGAATCAGCATATGCATCAAACTTCAATCTGTGAAAGGCTGTGCGCTAAAACTAGAGTATCTTATTATTTATATAAACAAGTATAACACAAAAAGACAGAAACTTTAGCAGATTATCAATTCTAGACAAACACAATCCAATCCATGGAAGCTAATGTGTATCTCAGGTATTCTGCCACAAAAGAGACAGACTTTGGGTTGAAAAAATGATTATCTCATTTCATATAGAACATAGGCATCTTGTATAAAAAAAATAAGAGAAAAATGTCCATGCAAACAAAATGGCCACACCATAACAATTGCACCTGTTAAATTGTTACTCTCAGAGTTTGTGCACTGTTGTTATCCCAGGTAGTGATGTGTGTTCTGTGCTGAAAAGTAAAAGCATTAAACAGAAGTTTCTTTTCAAAGAGAAGTGGCAGATGAAAACAATATTTTCCTAGGTCATAGGTCTATTCCATCCAACCTTCCAATATTTATGCAGTAAGCTATAAGTTGTGATGTGCATTTCCAGGAGACATCTAATGCAGATCATACACTAGCTATCATGACAAATACTATCATTTTGTTATTAAAACACAATATGAAAACTTCTAAAACAACTGTGAATGTAGTACTCAGAGATCTACCATCATACGAATTTTCAGTTTCACATTGCAATTCAGTTGAGTAGAGAAAAAACCAAGGAGAAAAGTGTGTCAATCCTAAGTCCTAACTTCTGTTTGTAGCCTTTTCTTCTATTTATTTGCTAACATAGATCTCACCCCTTTTCCCCTTAGAATTCATCAATAGATGGTGGTCAATTACATCAAGACAGCCACTTGCTTAATAACATTTGGCGGCAGTTTGTATATGCTCCTGACTGATTCCCTACACTTTTCCTAGCAAAAAGACTTGGTCTTCCTGAATCTTCTGCAAACATGATTACTGCTCACATTACGAAGAAGACTAACTTTTTTTTGAGCACCGAAGAAGACTAACTTTAGGAGATGCCATTAGAAGAGAATGGGCCGGGTATCGCTACATCCCATCAGACTAATTCACTGAATGACAGCCTGGATTACCAACCTTCCAGCTACAAAACGGTGCAACTGATGTAGATTGACAAGAAAAAAGCCTTGATTAGGAGGAGACATTCTAAATATTTAGGCCTCGAAATATGATCTCCTAGACACTTTAATTTTGAATTATCCGGTCCTCAGTACCACATCCCACAAGCTTTTAGCACAAGGGTTGAAAATTGATCAGGCTTCCAAAAAAGATTGCACCTATCTCTTCAAAGAGAAACCAATTTTAAAACTCGCTAGTAAATGTAGCTTCTCTGAGCCTCCATTATTGGTTACCCAATTTTGCAGATAATTAACAAGTAAGGTATTCCATTTGAAGAATTCAATGGAGCCGGCTATACTGACGTCTTCATGAAGAATGGATACCGACAACATCTGGTCACAATATTTGAGTTGGAATGTTCCTGTCATGCATTCATTCGTGCAGTATTTGAGGAAGCAACTGGTATAGTGGTATTACACGCTTTGATTCAATCTCCCATCTGAATGCAGCACATGATGGATTATCTGAGCACAGAGGTACAGGTTTTGCAATGAATCAACAGCACCACCAAAGGGTCAGGACCGTCTACCTACTTGATCACTCTCTGTGACCAAATGCCATGACTTTGAGCAAGCTAGTCCGAACGAACTCTCATTCCAAAACGTGGTACGTACGACCCTTTTGCAGAACAAACACCTGACATGTCAGGACGTTGTTTTAACAACAGCAACAGATAAAAGATGGGGATCCCCCAGCTGACACCTCTGAGCGTAAAAGATGCGGATCCCCCAGCTAAGCATTGCAGGGAATTTTGGATCACTAGCCACCGTACACCCAAAAAAGCACAAGGAAGGCGCACATGACCTCAATTCGCAGCGATTACCGTGTCGGCCATACACGAACTGCGGAAGCGGAACTCCTATGGATCATCGATCCTTCTCCGCTAGGCATGACATCAGGTCTCGCTCGTCCACACGAAGATTTGCAAGGACTCGAAAAAGCAAGGCTGGATATCGCAGCCCGCAAGCGTGTGGCTGTAAGTAAATCCGGCGAGGAGACACAGAATCTTACGAAGGAACTCACACTGACGACACGGCGCGGGGAGACGGTGACCTCGCACCCTTCCCCCAATCCCCATCTTGCACGGAGCCACGGACGGCCTCAGGTGAGTGGGACCCGGGTGCACGGACTCTACCGAACCCCCGCCTTCCGGTTCCTGCTCACTCCGATGGCGATGCCCGGAGGCCGGAGGGCAGCCGAGCCGAGCGGCAGCCGACGGGGGAGGGAGGATTCCGTGGGTCCCATGGCAGCGGGGGCGTCTGGTGACGAGACATCACACGTCTCAGTGAGAGGAGAGGAATCGCTACGGCCCAGCCCAGATAGCAGCTACTTGGGCCTTGGCAAATTACAGAGCCGTAAGAGAGAATTGGACGTCGAACATTTTTTCCCCCGAGACCCACTTACACACGCTCACAAGCACGGCCGCACAAACCGCTATACTGATATAATGTTCGTGCTAACGCTACGACAGAACATAGTCAAACAAATCAAGAAATTAAAAGGCTAAATCCACCATTGCCCTCAAGCTCAAAATACAACTACTGAAAAGAGTCAACATACTTGTTTGCTGCAATTACACAATATATCAAGTACTTGCTTCATTTAAACGTTGTACGCTACGACAATATCAACAACTGAAGAGAATCAACTAATCATTTATCGACTACCGTAATCTAATAACAATGAAATGAATAAATTTTTTTCTTCCTCTCGCGCCAAGAAAGGAGAGGGCGAGGCAACCGCACGCACATCGTACCACGCGCTCGCTCCTCTCGCTGGCTCAAGCTGGACCACCAGGGGACTGCACTCCTCTTGCTGGACCGCCCCGTGCCAGCCTCTGAGCTAGGGACCGCGCCGGCCAGCCGAGCGAGCTAATCCATTGATTCTATAAAGAAATTTTCATATGTAATATTGTGAAAATATAGTGAGAAGCGATGAATCCACCATACCATAGGTTCTATCATTTCACAAGGGAAACAGCAATGCCCTTTAGCCAAGAAGTAACCTCACATAGTATTAAAATCAGAAATTCAACATCTCTAGCAACATAGAGTATGAACAATTGAAAGTAGATATCATCAAAGCGACCTTAGTTCATAATCCACAAAATATTACAAGCCTTGTCAGAAGGAACGGGGCCTGATAATGACTATATCAGGAGGGGATATACATTTGCTTTTTTGACTCATTCCTTACCAACTACGAAACCAAATCAACAAATTTATGATCCTCCTTCCTGCAACAGAGCACAGCTGTTTATTTCAAACGC